TAACACAGTCAATGTAAGGTAAGTAAATGACTATGGTCGTATCATATCTTGGCTGTCTTGGCTCCAATCCGTTCATCATTGGAGGACACAAGTTTCTTCCATTTTTAATTCTGAGTGGAATTTCACTGCCTCAAGTAGACCAGGGTGCAATGTGTGGGTCTTACAGGACTCACAGCTTCTGTTCAAAGAACAGGTAGCAGCTATGGCTAGGAGGGCCTTTGCACACCTTCGGGCTGTGGGCCAGATATGCCAATACCTGGACTGGGAGGTTCTGACCCAGAAGAAGTATTCAGCAGGTTCTGACCAGTTTTGGAGAACCAGTAGCAGAAATTTTGAGTAGTTCAGAGAATCGGCAAATACCACCTCTGACTGGAGATTTTACACTATCCTTCCCCTGCCATACCCACCAAGTCACACTCACAGAACCGGTAATAAAAAATTTGAATCCCACCACTGATCTGACCATAGTAACATACACTCTCATAATCTCTAGATTAGACTACTGTAGCACATCTGTTCATCCCAATCTTTTAGCTAAATACCCTTTGAATGGTGTGGGAGTAGGAATGGATTTCCAGAGGAAAAAATTTACCCTGAGGACACAGATAGACCTCCAAGTGCTTTAACAACCCACTAAAAGGATGCAGATTACCAGCTGTCTGCAAGTATAAATCCTTCCATTCCCCACTATCCTGTCAGAGCTGATGAAGCTTCTTGGATGAGAAGCAAAACATCTTCAAAAGAAAAAACAAAAAAGTCTAGTTGCCTCCTGAAAAAGCACCTTTGGGATAAAGAAGCTAAACAATCACCATTTCTCATATCCTCTTGGGTCTCCAAATTGTCCAACAATATTTTACTGTTCTGTCTCTTCTTGTTTCCCCCCACCCATTTAAGTCACCTAATGGAGGACCTCTAGATCACATTCATTGAGAATGTTGCACAATTTTTCCCAAACTTCTTTCATTATGTCAGTTTTACTAGAAAATAATTGACTCCTACCCTCCTTTGCACCCACAACAATCAAGAGACTAAATGTTTATGGAGTTTTTCAGTCATCCAAGCCATGGTTGTCCCCAAAATGCTTTTTTTAAAAGGCAACTGGACTTCGTTTTTTCTAGGAACAAACAGGAAAAAACAAAGTCCAGTTTCCTTTTGAAAAAGCACTTTTGGGACAACGAAGAGACTAATTTGTTTCCTTTGGCTTACATTTCAGGCCTTTCATTTGCAATTAAACTTTCGTCTAGCAAACTTATACAAGTTCCTTTAAAAAAAAAACAGTAGCTAATTTTTCATTCTCAAGGCTAATTCAAGGCACTGATTTAATTTTAAACCCCTGAACAATTTGCTTCCTCTCAGATCAACTTGCCAATCCTTTATTTTTTTGTGAGATCTATAGTTATAGATTTACAGATTAGAGGACCACTGAGCTATCATTCTAATTGTGTCCTTCCAAGAAAGACCGATAGCAGATCATGCTATTTCTTTGCTACCAAATCATGGCATCCCTTTTGACCTAGGCATTCTTACTTGCTATTTTAAATTTTATGGTAGTTATATAATATTTCTTTTTTTCTAACCTTGTTATCTTTTTGGATGAAAGTCAGTTTATAGATTTCTACAAAGATCAAAGAAGCCTATAAGTTTGTATTAATGCATAACTGTACTGCACAGGAGGAGTGAGCACATATGTAGTAAATGTATTCACTTAGAACAAATGTATAAAATACTGAATATAAGAAGAACTGCATTAAAAATGTAGGGAATAAATCTTTTATTTTATTGATAGACATGTACATGCTACATTAAACAAAACAGGTATATCATATTCCATTATCTGTTCATTAAGAAACTACCCACAGTGCTTTCCAAGGAAGGAACAATCCATCAAAATTATTTTCATTTTAAGCTTAATTAAATTAATGTGTACATTAGCTAGGTAAGTTGGAGAGACACTAGAAAGAAGAAGTGAAAAGAATACCAATATAGTAAAGTTTTTAATTGTATCCTTTGTACATAAGATTTAAATCATTCACTTCTACAAAAGGGCATGCTGGACACAGAGGAAATGGAACAAAAATCAAACTCAAATCACAACCAAGATTAGCATGTTTAGATATGAACATGGGATTCAAACTTATACACATTCAGTATATTTTCCCTTAAAAGATAGCATGAAAAATAGTGCTAGTGATGGATGATCCCAGTGCCAGGGCACATAATTTTACTGTAATTCCATATAACTATAATCCCGTGAGGAAAAAAAAATGACTGAATAATCTTTTTCAGGCATGCCGCTGGCTGCTGACCTAACTAACATAATTGTAACATTATATTTGACTAAAATTTTTTTCACAGGCTCCCTTTCAAATGCTCACACAAAACACAGAGAAATTAATAAAATGCCATTGTTATCTTATGTCTCCTGCACTGTTAGATTCTTCCTCCTGGCTAAACAACAGTGTGATACTGACACATATAGATGAGCTACACTCAAAGAGATTCAATGTTTCTCTCTGACATAGGCAAACAAAGATGCAGAAGAACACATTGTGGAAAAGATTCCATCATTTTTTCTCCCCAAAGAGTACCATTACATTTCTTTCAATTAAAAAAAAAAAGAATGAAAGGTAAATGAAATATATTGCAAATAACTTGAATTTAATTCAGATGAGAAATACAGATAGTCCTCATTCACTTAGGGACCTTTCAAAGTTATAACCGCAGTGAAAAAAAAAGGGACTTATGACCATTTTTTTCACATTGACAATCACTGCAGCATTATGTGATTATGTGATGGTCATATGATCAAAATTCAGCCGCTCTAGCAACTGCATCACATTTATGATGGTTGAAGTGTCCCAGGGTCATGTGTCCACTTTTTGTGACCTATTGATAAGCAAAGTCAATGGGGAAACTAGATTCACTTAACCACCATGTTACTAATTTGTCAACTGCAGCAATTCACTTAATGAAAGTTGTAAAATGGGGCAAAATTCACTTCACACATGTTTTGCTTAGCAACAGAAATTTTGGGCTCAATTGTGGTGATATGTCGAGGACTATTTGTATTCTAAATTGCAATTGTTTCAAAAAGTGATAATGATTTCTATTATCCTATTAGCATATATAGATTCCGTCCAGATTTTCTTAAAGCAATCCTGAAGTAACTTTCTGTTACTTTCTCTCATAATCTTAGGTTATCAGTTTTTATCTATTTTGTATGTATGTGTATGTAAGTTTCTACAATATGCATTCAACTGGGTCAGATTGTGCTAATCCAATATTGTCTATCTGGTTCCCTTTCCTTTCACTTTACCCACTATCAGTTCTGAAAACTCTCAAAAGTCTGAGTTTTCCTGGCAGGAATATTTCATGTCTTTATTACCTTGTACTAAGCATGGACTGCCTTTGAAGACAGTGCAAAAAAATGG